TCGATATTCGCAGTTTTTCCAATTTTGAAATTCGAAACTCGAATATTTGAGTAAACGGGGTTTCGAATGATATTCGAAAAGTTGAATAATCAAAAAACGGGGTTTTGAATAGATTTTATTTGAATGTTTTATTTGAATTCATTCTCGAATGAACTCCGTAATCAGACTGTTCGAGTTTGTTGCAGAGCCAACTGCTGAGTATCAAGCTCGCTTCCTTTGCGTTTTCTTACGCAAAACTCGTTAACGCATCTTTTTGCAACCGTGATGACCTTTTAACTGTATGGAAAGTCGCGTTTTTCCGTTCGCTTGCAACAGTAAAAAAAGGTACGATTTTTGATTAATGCTCTTTCAATCAATGAGATAGTTCACACTGCTACTGCACCAAATCAGCAAAACAGCTAGCAAATTCTAGCTCATGCGAGTTACTAGAAGGGTATAGACTGTGTGTATGGACTCCATCAAATGGATCAAGTGTGGTTGGTTTTGTATGATGTCATTGAAACTACTCCAAAATGATTTACGGCTTAGGTTGCCGAAACAAAAGGCTGTCATTTGATGGCATGGGCAAGGACCTACAGCTGGCACGGCATCATCAGCAAACGTTCACTACAATGCGGTGGACTCTATTCGTTTTCATGTGCATTCTCATCACCGTTGTTACGCTGCGCTGACTTCTCTGTTTTAGCGTTGTTGCTTATACGTTGTTTTCCTTGCATAGGCGTTGCACGTCTTTTTATCCATTTCATGAAATTGCTCCAATTGACCCGCGGCAAAACGGTTGTAAAACTCGCGCAACTTTCATTTGTTGTCTGTTCGTGGTAGTTGTTTTCACCATTTATTAATTGTAGACTGTTTCTGCGGCGACGACATTTGCCGACAAAAACTGCGCCGTATTTCATTTGCTTTTGATCCCAAATGCTCATGCGAAGAACAAAGTTCCATGCATATTGTTTGTTGTTTATAAAACCTTCATGTCCAGTGCACAGAGAACAACAAACATTTAGGGAACACAATAGAAAGCGTAGATGGGTAGATGTACAGCGAAGGAGCGTCATCTCGGCTCCGCATTTCAAAGATTTCAACACGCTTTTTCCTCAATGAAATCTCTTTTGATGAAAGCAGTCTTCACTTTTCTTTTTTCTGTGGTAGGGTATATGTGCAATTTGTAAAGAATCCCTAGTACAACAGGTTTCCGGTGAATAAGGTCTTAGTAAGTCAAATTTTGCGCGTTGCAACAGGTTACTGCATGTTGCTGTTACGTGCGCCTAAAATCTAGTCCCACAAATTACAGTATGCACCATGTCACATGTTGCAACAAAAGGCGTGTTGCAGCAATGAGCAACATGTGGCGGCAACATGAGCATCTTAGCCTCATAGTTGCACCAAGTAAGATGTTGCTTGCTGCACTGAGACACCGCAAAACCTCTTGAACCCCTGACCACTCCAACATCACGCCGACTCAAACACTCCACCACTGGAGTCGATATTGTTCTATCCTCAAGTTCACTGAAGCGTTATACCCTTGGCTGGTTGATAAGATATAAATTTTCCGATCAATGGCTTGCTGTTGGAATGAGGCGCCAAGAGATCAACTCCGCTTCGCCTTAGGGGAGATGCTCTGACGGGGTTTTACCGAGCAATAATGTTTCTGTGGACAACATCTGCGAACAAATTCCCACGCTTGTAATTTTGGCAGTTGCGCGTACAAAACTAGTGCTAAAGCGCACATACTCAAAATGGGTAGGAAACGAACGGCCAATTTGGTCCACCCTTGCGGACTACAGTTCTTCAAACGACATGCAAAAATTGAAAAAACTTGTTTTCCGCGAAAGCGGCTCAAAGTCGCGAAATCGTTCTTCTACTCACTCAAATTTAGCGCCATCCTGCCATTTTCGTGGGCGAATTGTCGGCAGTTGGCCGCAGGATCACTATGCTCACAATCGGATTTTTTAGCCTAACTATCTACCTATCTGCTCAAGTTAGCTGTTATATTTTGGAAGTAATGTTCACAACTGCAACTATTGTACTGCGCGAGGCTCAGCACATTTCATATTGTGGCTATGCACATTCTGCATCGAAGAGTTCATTGTCCCGGGCACCTACGCATCACGTCGTGAATGCCCTAGATGCGAGCGTGCGATCTGCGTTCTTTGTTACTCTTCGACTGATGACGCTGATGAAAAGGTATTTGCGTTCATCCTGAGATTTATATGTACTGGTCAAGATGGCCTTTGGGATGGAATGCAAACGAAGTCTATTGAAGAGGAAAAACGCTAATTCTACATCTGCTTTCCCTATCTGCGGTACATTTGTGGACAAGAAGTTATGAGCGTCTGAGCAAAAAGCAGAAGTGCTTCATACTAACTCTCGAATAAGGGAACAAATTTTAGTGATAGTAATGTAAAAAATTGGAAACTTGCAACAAAAATCGGATCAGTCGCTATTATAGGTTTTTTCACCAGCTCTTTCTACTGTGCAAAGTTTGCGCCTATTGAGCGTCTCTATAAAAAGTTACGTTCGAGCAAGCAATACAAAAGATCGATTTGATTTATTTTGGTATTTTTCAGGGAAATCATAACTATTCATAAAGACGCTCAATCGGCGCAAACTTTGTAGTGTTGGAAAGAGCTGATGAAAGAACCTATAATACTGACTGCTCTGATTTTTGTTGCAAGTTTCCTATTTTTTATGACCCTGCAGAGGAAATTTGAATTTTGACTAATTTTCCTCTGCCGCTCCTATCTATGCAACATATTACCATTAGCAAGCAGCTAAAATGTCCTTATAAAGAGCATGACTTACTCTTTCACACAAAAATAAACCAGTCAAATCGGTTGGAAAAATCAGAAGTTATGAATTTTTTGAATTTGGTGCGAAAGAACTTTCGGGACGACCTAGTATATTAGATTGTCCCAAAAGTTTTGTCCGTTTTTTCAAAACCACTTCAAAACATGCACATATTGAATGAGTTTTAACATGAATTTAATGCTGCTTTTCTTCCTCTTTTTATGGATATTTTCGAACCACAATCTTGCATGTTTTTTTGACAATTGCCACACTTCTCCACCCGTCAACTTTATTTGCTCAAAGTTAGGCTAATTTTAGGAAATTTCATTCCAAAGCTTTTTGAAGGGTTGAGTATGAATCAATTGGAGCAATTCCCGGACTACAAGGTAATACGTTCATATTCTTCTAGTCCGCTGTTTTTAACTTTGAAAAATTATTTTTTTTTGAAGGTCTTGATTTTTGGCCAAGTCATAAAACACGCAACTGCAGCAAATACACGGAAGCTACTGAAAATCTAGGAATTAAACATTAATCCTATCACACATTATTTAGGCAACATAATCGAGTTTATTTTCTTTGAGAAAGTAGTTTTTTGGGATTTTTGGTACTTTTGCGTGGTAAATGTAATCAAAAAAGAGCAATTTCTTAAAATATATAGATATTACGGACTTGGTAAAGTGACCTGTAATTTAAAACGGGAATATAGCCAAAGGTTTGCTCTACCAGCGCTCTTTGAAAACCTCAGGATATTTTCAAAATTCAGGAAAGATTTGAAAACTATTATTATATAGGGTGTCCCAAAAAAATGTATCGAACGTTTGATCGTTAATATCTCTCTTCCCAAGAAGTCTTTTGCCTTGCTTCAGGTGCCGTTTTGTAGAGCTGGCTTCAACTTAGATTTGCACTATAGAACGAATCACTCATCTCTCTTCATTACTGTAGGATTACGGTAGAAACTTGAAACATATGGCGTTAATGTGAAAAAAGCTGCCGTTTCAAAATTTTTCAAAAAATCATGAAAACTTGTGTAATAGGGTTTTTATGGACGCTGAGTTCAATAACTAACTATTCACAAGATTACGAAGCTTTCCAAACCGTGCAATCCCACTTTTCAGGAACATTGAAAAAATGGCCGCTACTTCTTACCTGGCATAACTCTTCAATAAAACATCATAATAAGTTGGGAACTTTACGGTTATAATCAGCAACTCTAATTAGCCTAGTTTAAAAGCTTTCAGGCTGTTTTGTTTTCTTTCTGAGGCAAAATATGGCCTTTCATTGCTTAAAACCCTCTTTGAAGTTTCTACCGTAATCCTACAGTAATGAAGAGAAATGAGTGATTCGTTCTATAATGCAAATCTAAGTTGAAGCCAGACAGATTTGTACCTGAAGCAAAAGAAAAGACTTCTTGGGAAGAGAGATATTAACGATCAAACGTTCGATACATTTTTTTTGGGACACTCTGTATTTTAATATTTGATATTGTTACTTTTGTTTTGTCCTACTTGCACATTCAATTTTTCTGCTCCATCCATAAATGCTTAGATTAGGAAAGCAAATTTGAAGTCAGCGTTTTATGCCCTTTATTTGAACATCCCATCCAAAAAGGTTTCTTCGACTACGTACAATCCCTTTGTAAGAAGTGGAAAGAGGCTTCACTGGTATCTTTCCTCACTCTACCATCTGAGTACTACCAAACAAAGCAAGCGTTGCTACTGTTTCAATCTAAAAGTTCTGTGATCTTGTCTCAGTTCTGAAAAGCTATTCTGCGACCACGATGACATAGAGTCATTCTTTTTACTTAAATTCAAATGGTAAACAGGAGCGACAGCTCTGGGCAAAGCATCGCTGCAGTGAAATTGTTGATGCAGAAACTGTTTGAGTTTGGTTATCTTTCCGTGAACAAAGAATAATGTGCACGTGTAGGCCAAGGGATAACTTGTCAACCTTGCTGGGCGAAAAAAAATTCTCCAGCAAGGTGCGATGGCTTTGCGATCGATCTTGCACTGCGAAATTCGCGGACCTCACGCCCAGAATTCAAGCCTGCCATGAAGTTAAGAGCTCGCTGTTGAAACTAATGCCAACATGCCGGGTTGATTACCACCACCCTTACTTTATGGAGAAGAAAAAACGACCGACAGAAACTTTCCAAACAACAACAACAACAACACCCCGAACTTTTTCACTTTTTATCATAATTTATAAAGACATACATTGTAGTCGCCGACATATACAAAACCAGAGCCGCCAACATTCCTTGCATTGGCCAGGAATTCATCATGAGTTGCTACATATATGTAAATGATGCGAATGCCAGCTTTTCTAATCTGAAAAGAAACCATATAAGATACATAAAATTGTCCGAGCGTTTTTTCCAAAATGTAACCATTCCTAATCAACCGGTGAGCTAGAAGTGCTGAACTATTTTGAGGCCTTTTGAAAAAGAGTGGCTGTGAGACAATAGTATTCAAAGTTTTAGCTATACACTACTGCGTTTTCGATCTACTATTTGGAGTTATAAAAATAGTTCTTAAATTTTTTGAAGTTGTTTAATATTTGATTTGACGTTTGCAGAAAAGCAACAGGAGTTCTGGAGATTATAGATGTCATTGAGCAGTATATAATTGAACTCGTTTGAAAAAGGCATCTGCTTTTTTTTGCTAAGCCCGTCGTTACTGTAATCAAAATTAGAGCTTCCGTGGAGAGATAGATACAACAAAATATGTTTATCTTTATTCCAAAGAAATAAACATGAATACAAAAAATCCAAATGTTTGTTTATTTATTTACTAGTTGGCATACCCGGCTCCGCCCGGGCCTGTCATTATTATATTCGTAATCAGCATGCTCGATTACCCCCCTATGCCAACTCCCAGCCTTGTAGCTCAAATTTTGCAAAAAATCGATAAAATCGATATCGATCGATAACGAGTAGCCTATGACACGCTCCCTGCCCCGAAGTATATGTGTGCCAAGTTTGGTCCAAATCGGTTCAGAAATAAAAATTTCTATTCCGCACATACGTACAGACATACAGACAGACATACAGACATTCAGCTTTATATATAAGATTTATCTATTATTGCACGCAGTGCGCCAGCAATTCAAAGTGCAGGTAAATCAATGAGTAAACAGAAACGTCAAAAATGAATAAATGATGAAAGATTCGATGTAGCAGTTAACCAGTCCAAATCAGTTGGACACTACCAGGGTCAAGCAAGGGGTGTGGCACACGATCGCTGGTTACGACCCCCCCCCTAATTGCTGTCTTAATAAGACCCTCCCCCCGAACCATAGGTGCGATAGTGGGAGCAGAGTCCCATCCAGGTGAAGGGGGTTTTGGCTATTTTTGACTCAGAAAAGAAGGGGGTAATTGAATCTGAGATGAGTGCTGATCAAGCTTACATGTCTAACGGTAGCAGGAGTGAAAAGAAGAAAAATGAGCGGTATAGAGGTTCATAATGCTTAGGCCCTTGAAGGTCATCTAACAGAGACTTTTTTGACTCGGAAAAGCATTGTGTTTCATCAGTCGACTACCATTCGAAAGTTTGGGACATATTGAATCAACGTAGACCGTCTCTTTTTTTTCAGTTCTCTTGTGAGTACATATATAAGAAATCATATCTAGCTTCAGCAACAACTGATTTTATGCAATCATTTTACGCTCCATTTCTGAGAGAAAGAGGAAAGCTAGAAAAAAAAGAGACGTTCTACGTTTACTGGCAAGGTTGACAAGTTATCCCTTGGCCTACAACGCATCTACGCCTCAGCACTCTCTACATTTTGGAGAGCAAAGGTTCATGATGACTTCGGGCAATTGAAAGGCTCTTACCCAACGGCCCTTTGTTAGAGCCACAAATACGATGAATACAAAGGCATAAATATTATCATGCTTATAATAACGAGCTAAGGGTGTTTACGTGTTTGTGTGCGTGTGTGTCTGTCTGTCTGTCTGTACCGAAATTCACAGAACGAGTCGCAGGCAAGGTTTCAAGCTGCAATTTTTTACACAACAAGCACTGACACCATCCAGATTCACCATGCCAAAGCACGAGCAGGTCCATTGAGTAGGTCCCTCAAAAATCGCATCCCAAACGGATCCACTTAAAGTTTGGCGCGCAATACTGGATCCGTATTACCACTTTCTGCAGAGTTGTGGTCATGTTTGGCAAGTTAATGTACAAGTCTTCTTTAGCCCAAAAAAGTGATGGAAGTCTATTACCCCACGAAAAAGGCGCCAAAACGAATTATTTGCGTAAATGGTCAATTTGCCAGGTTTTTACCTGAGCATTTGAAAAGATTTTTTGCACGGGGATGTAGCTCGCCGTGTACATTGTCCTTATGGCCTAAGGCATACCTCTCGCGATTTCGCAAAGTCGCCACGTCCTCGAGACCTGGCAGATGTCTAGAGATTAAGCATGCAAAGCTCTCGAATGCATGGGTGCGTGTATTTCGTAAATTGCAAACGCAACAAGTCTGGCCCATGCAAAGCGCATTTACGACCAGCTATAGAGAGTCGTTGCAATGCCAAATCGCGCGGCGAATAAAATCGCGTGAGGTATGCCTTAGGCCTATGGCGACTACCAAGCCATGAAAAAATTTAGAAGTGTTCTAATTCTGCATTTGTTCTTCATCTTCCAAAGTTTTATCCACGCAAAATAACGATCTCTCACGAAAAAGCTTTTGGAATGAGTAGTTCTTTAGAAATCATTTGTGAAGGCGGGCACTGTGCGGTATGTCAATGCCATGTTATGCAGGAATGACTGTGGCATATAGATAGAAGAGCCATTGCGAGCCTCTGCGAAGCAGAGGTGACGCACTGGTTTGAAGTAAACGTGCTAATCATGGTGTGTCAATAACAGCTAGACTTTACGTGTTTTAAGTAAATTTTGTTATAACGTACTGCGAAGAAAGTAGGTCGATTCCGGCAGTAACCCCGAGAACCAGAATTTCGAACAATAAAATAGGGAAAAATCATGCGAAATTTCCACTTTATAATTCTGGTTGTTGAAGATTTAGCAATTGTGAATCCGTAAATTTTCATGGGTAAGTGTTGTTCTATTAGATGGTGAAAAAATCAGCTCGATTTGACCGCCGAGAACGAGAATTTTGAAAATACGCCATTTCAAGTTGCTTAGTGACAGCCGACGTTTAGAATCTATAAATCTGGAAAATGAAGGTGTGCAAGGTTGCGATTTCATAGGTTTTGTAGAGTAAGGTTTGCACTATCAGATTTTGTCTTAGGGCCGCATGCATCAACATCCCCGCTGGGGAGGGATCGCAGCCTGAAAGAGACATATCCTGAAGCTCCAGATATCTGGATTTCACGCTGTCTACCTATAGTAAGTGTATCCACCATCCTCCACTATGAACGTGTTGAACAGAAGCGAGAAGCTATACAAGCCGCATTTTCCAGCTTTTTGTATGATCCCCTGCTGATCCCCGAGGGACGACCGTCTAATCTTTGAAGCCATTTTTCTTTCTTCAAATTAATATAAACAATCCAAAATTGTGTAGCTTTTCAAATTCAACATTGCTAGGCATGTTGTTAATAAGAACAAATGATGTTTTGGAGTCATGAAATTTTCGATGAACCATAAGTCTAAAGTTGGGGTTTATCGGAAATTTCGATATCTCAGAAACTCATTGTTCTCATCAGCATTATGCTCAACACTGTTGGGTTAGATAATTAGCGCAACTTTGGACTGTTTTCATAAACTTTGAAGAAGGAGAATTGACTTCAAGATTGAACCGTCCCCGGGGATCATCAGGGGATCATACAAAAAGCTAAAAAAATGCGGCTTGAACAGCTTCTTGCCCTTGTTCAATATGTTCATGGTGCAGGATAATAGGAATAATTACGGAAAAGTAGACAATTTGAAATACAGATATCTTGAGCTTCAGGATATGAAGCATTCCTTCTAAGCTGCGATTCTCCCAGCGGGGATGTTAATGCATGCGGCCCTTAGCCGTACCGATCCATTGAAATACCGCCGAGATTTAGGCTTTTGAAGAAACAGGCAGAAAACCGCTTTTCAAGATTTAATAGCTCAACTTCTTCAAAATTGCATAAATCATGTTGCTACATTATAATTTGGATTCTCCTCTTCAAGAGCTTTCGGATGATTGATAATATGCGGAAGGTTCGCGCCTCTCACGGCATATGCCCGGGGGTGGAGATTTTTCATCACAAAGTCTCCACTGTCGGCCTCCAGCCAATACATTGATATGGGCGAGACGGAGATATTGGGATGAAAAGCCTCCACAACGGGTTAGAGCCGCAAAAATTACTGAACTCCTTACACGTCATACATCATCCGAAAGCTCTTGAAGAGGAGAATCCAAGAATAAAGTTGCAACATGATTTATGCAATCTGAAGAAGTTATGATCTGTTAAAATCTAAAAAGCGTTTCTACCTGCTTTTTTTAGAGCCTGGATCTCGGCGACGTTTGAATAAATCGTTGCGACTGAAACAGATTCTGATAGGGCAGATCTTACCTCAAAAAACTTATGAAGCGGCAACATCGCACAATTTCATAATCCAGATTTATAGGAGTTCAAATGTCACTGTCACTGCGCAACTTGAAATCGCGTAATTTTTTAGAATTCTCGTTCTCGGCGGCCACTGCTCAAATCGACCTGATCCTTTCACTATCTGATAGAACAACACTTAACCTTTAAAATCTATGGAAGCGCAGTTGCAGACATCTTCAACCATCAGATTTACAACAATGGAAATTTCGCATGTTTTTTCGCTATTTTATTATTCGAAATTCTGTTTCTCGGTGATTACTTCCTGGATCGACTTACTTTCTTCGCAGTACGTTATAACAAAATTCACTTAATAAATTACGTAAAGTTTAACTGAGCTTCACTTACTACTACACCATTTGACTAAATGTTTATTTATTTCAAATATTTATGCCGCTGTCTCATCGTATTTGTAACCTTAAAGAGGGCCGTTGGGTCACATCGCTGGCCCTGAAGAGCACCACTTGGTTAGAGCGCCAAACAGATTTATACGTCCCAACATTTTTCACAAAATTCAAAGTTACGAATGGAGAATTTAGCCAAGGCATTACTGGAAATGCACAAGATTATACCATTCTACATCGTACTGAATCTAACAATTCCGCATGACAGAGGTAAAATTCACTGAGGTTTGAAGTGATCTCCTGATTTCACGATAATGATTACTTCCGGCAATAATCTACAGGAAGAAAGCAATCGTTAGTAAATGTTGGCTTCAATTACAAATTCTGAGAGTTTAGGAAGGTCATACTATACTTATAAAATATACGTGATGTCATGAATAAGAAATGCTTT